TTCTTTCTTTCTTTCTTTCTTTCTTTCTTTCTCAAGCATGCTCTCAGGAAGATAGTTGCCAAGCCGAACCAATTGTACGTTCTTTTGAGATGTGTCTGTTCCACGCTGAGCCAAAGATTGATTTGGAAGGCCAAGGATGGGGACTTTGGGGGGGGGGGGGTTGTGTACGGTGTTAGAATTTTGTAATTATTTTGTAAAGGGAACGGACCTTGGATATCGTTTGATCCAGTGATCCCTCGACCTTTTGGGACCCCCGATTTAGCCCATTCCTAGAGCGCCTCCCCCTCCCCTTTTAAGACAGCCACCCCAACCTTTACTGAGCCACGGTGGGGCAGTGGTTAGAGTGGAGTACTGCAGGCTACTTCTGCTGGTTGCCAGCAGTTTGGCAGTTCGATTCTCACCAGGTTCAAGGTTGAACTCAGCCTTTCGTCCTTCCGAGGTTGGTAAAATGAGGACCTGGATTGTTGGTGGTAAGAGGCCGACTTTGTAAACCGCTTAGAGAGGGCTGTAAAAGTGCCGTGAAGCGGTATATAAGTGCTATTGTCTACCACCTTCCCAAGGAATCCATTGCCCTGTTGAATAGCATCTACAGATAGCCCTTGACTTATAGCCATTCCTTTATCGGTCATTCGAAGTTGGAACAGTGCTGAAAAAAGGGTTTTTCATGCTTGTGACCGTTGCAGCATCCCAGTACCGCTTGGCAACCAAGTCTTATTTATGACGGTTGCCGTGTCCTGGGGTCATGTCATCCCTGAACAAGCCAAGTCGAGGGGGAAGCCAGGTTCACTTAACAATTGTCGGAAGGAAAAGGTCATTCATCGGGGCACAGCTCACTCAGCCGCCGTCTCGCTTAAGCAACAGAGGTTTGGCAAGAATGGTCGTAGGAATAACGGAGTTGGAAGGGACCTTGGAGGTCTTCTAGTCCAACCCCCTGCTCAGGCTAAGAAGTCAGGTCTCTTAAGAAGTCAGGGGCCACCTATGCTGTTGGCTTTCCATGATGCCCAAGCAAAATTTGCTTCCTAAATTAATTTTAAAAACCGAACCACTGAAGTCAACGCTCATGTTCCACGCCTGTCCTTTTCCCTTTCGGAGCAGAAGGGTAGAGCTGGGCAGGTGCCCTGGGTTTCATAGGTACTTTGCATCAAGGTGAGTGAGCAGCCTCCCATTCTTCCCATCACCCCCCCCCCTCCTTCCCGCCGCTGTTTTCCAGACGGGCACCTGAGAACAGGTGTCTCGGCACCTTCCTGATTAACCGTGTACTTGCTTGCCTCCTCTTTTAGGGTTTACCACGTCTCATCCTATGTATTTCCCTTTCAGATTCCTTTGTTACTTCCTCTCAGCCTGTCTCTCTCTTTTCGACCTCACAAGGCAAGTCTGTCATTTTCTTGTACAATCCAACCCCCCCCCCCCAGGCTTCAGGATGACTGAGAATCTCTACAGACTTTTGAAAAGAGTCAATGGAGCCAGTTTGCTGAGCCTGTGGTCCATATGGACCAGAATTGGCCACGAGCTTCAGGTTTAGGAAAAAGTTTAGGTTGCCTCCGCCAGGCAAGGCCTTTCCTCACGAATTCGAAAGCGGATAATTTCTGATCGATCTGATTCTGTTTGCAGGAGTGCTGATGACAGCAGGGTTGAGTTGCGTGTATCTGCGAAGCTGGAGGGTTTAAAAATAAATAAATCTAAAGCCAATTATCTTTCTAAATAGTGAAGCTTTGATAGTTTGAAGAAGAATCAAGATCTCAGTTCGGCTTTTTGTCAGCTTCCCAGTGACCAAGTCATGTGCTTTTCCAAGCAAATTTCTCTTGCCAAACAAAGTTGTTTTTCCTGTCTGGGTTCTCTTTCCAGTAGGCCCAACAAATCTGGCTTAGATTGGGGGAGGGGAGTCTGTAAGCAGTGATTCTCAAATTTGGCAACTCTTACAGAGGTGTGGACTTCAACTCCCAGAATTCCCCAGCCAGCATGCTTCAAGATACGTGGACTACAACTCCCAGAATTCCACACATCTTTTAAGCTGCTGAAGTTACTGAACTATTAACAGGGGATCTCCAAACTTGGGCCCTTTGAGAGGTGTGGACTTCAACTCCCAGAATTCCCCACTGTCAGGATTCTGGCAGTTGCCCCAATTAAATCATGAGCCTCGAGCCAAGCTTCAAAAACTTAGAAGAATTTATTCGGAGCGAACGTGTCGGCATGACCTGTACAAAACCCGATTCTGAGACACATAATTCACTGTCACCCTTGACCCTGTTTTTCCCCCCACACCTTCCCACCTTCTCTTGAGAGAGTTACCCAGGAACTTCCATTGGGATGTAGAGATCTCTCAACTTTTGCGCCTCTTTAATTTTTTAAAAACAATTTTGAGGGGCTAACAAAAAAGCCTCTTGGAATTGTCTCGGGCGCCCTGGCACCTCCAATGGCCACCACCGGATTTCCCAACCTGAAAGAGTCGCTCAGGATATTTGGAAGGGCAAACAAGGTCATCAGTAGGAGCCGCAGGAAGTTGGAAAGACTTTATTGTGGGCTGTTTAGGCACCTAGATAAGAGAGGCCGCCTCCTATGCACGTCAGAGCTCTTGTGTGAATCTGTGATCGTAGTTGTAGACTTGAGATGCTGAGCCATGCAGGGAGAGCTGGAAGGGCTGGCTTAGTCATCTTTGGCCTTCGAGAAACTAGGTGGCCAGGAAACGTAAGCTTCCACTAACATATCTAAGAGAGAAGGCGTCCCTGGCTCAAAATTTGAATTCCTGCAGAAGGTCCCACTTATCCAAAGTCCTGGCAAGTTGTTGCCCATTGAAGTCCAAATCTAGCCAGCCTTGTGATGAAACCAGAGAAGAATGGCGTCCACGAAGACGCCACAGTTCCACCCCGGAGCTACAAAGAAGCTCTTCTATTAGTAGATGTTTGCGGGTGTGTTTGTGCAACACACACGCCTCAAAGACAACTCACTTTCTGGTACCGGCCCATCCCGGAAGAAGAACGTTTCCCGTTGAACACAACGCAAAACAAGGATCAGAATTGGTTCTGACCACAAGGAGGCTTATCGTTTTATAAGAGCTAAAAGCTACCTGAGGCCCTGGAGGAAGGGGAAGGGGGCTGTGGCCCTTTAGATCAGGGGTCCCCAGCCTTTCAGTCTGTGGCATGCCAGAAAGCAGGTTGTGCAAACAGTGGAAGCCCCACCTGTGGGATGAAAGGCAGCACACGAAACTATGCCCCCCTTCCGGTCCACGGAAAAACCTTTCCATGGAACCGGTCCCTTGCACCCCCAAAATGGGGGAGCACCGGTGTAGATACTTATGAACCATAACTTCCCACCTGGCCACCTCTGAAGGATTTTTGGGGGTGGGGGGGTGGAATGGGGAGCTCACTTTTGACCCACATGGCAGAAACATACCAGCATAGCATCTTGCGCCTTTCAGGATGCTTCCATATAGAGGTTTTTAACATCCGTAATTATAGACTCTGGTTTTTGAACTGCTGTAAGAATAGGAAGCTGCCCCCAAATAGATATTTTGGGGGGGGGGGGGTTCAGGGGCGGGAAAGCAGTTACAGCCTTTTTTTTTCCCCTTCTTTTTCTTTTCTGGAAACCATAAAACATTTTTCTTCCTGCTTTTTTCTCTCCCTCCGCGTCCACCGGAGACCCAGCTTGGCTACGAAGTGCTGAAATGTTCCTACCGTGGTGCTGTTTAATTATATGACGTGCTCTGACTCTGTGGCTGCTTCCCTGCACTGTGTTTCTTGCGTGAATTAATTTTCCCCACCTGTCTCGTTAAGCTTGCTTTTTTTTTTTTTTTTTTGGTGTCCCCCGAAGTACCGAATGCAAATAAGAAAGAAAGAGGGAAGGAGGAAAGGAAGGAAAAAGAAGGAAGGAAGGAAGGAAGGAAGGAAGGAAAAAAATTATTTTGGCAACTGCACAGAAGTTGAGGGTGGTTGTAGCAACAGTGAAGGAGAGTTGAATTGTCCCAGGACAAAACATTGAGAAGGAAATGGGGAAGATGGGTAGGACTCCACAGACTGACTCAGCCTCGGTCTGTAGCAGTAGCACCAAGGGGCTGTGGAGATTCTCAAGTCGGCCAGGTTGTCCCAAAGGTGCTTCAGTTCTTCAGAACTAAAGAAGCTCCTTGTATGAGAAACAAAACTTCTTCAAACAAAGGAAGTCCAGTTACCTTTAGGAAAATGCTAGCACCAAGGTTGGGATGCTAGCACCAAGGTTGCCAGTCTTCAATGGTCGGATTGGATTGGAGGTATTTGGCGAACCTAGCAAGTGCATTATTACTTTGGTTTTATTTAACGTTGGTTAAACACGCCATTACTTGGGGTGCAATGCAAACTCAGGTTTGAGTGCTCGGAGTGGTTTCCTTCATTGGTGGTCACTGTTTGTGAATCAGGATAATGCATCCAGGTTTATGACTCCAAAGTTATGCTAGCTGGGAATTCTGGGAGCTGTAGTCCTGTGGAGGCGGAGTGCCCTGGCAAAAGCCAGTTTTTGTAGGTTTTGTCATTCAGAGCCCTCTCGGGATTAATTCTGTTTTGGAAGTTTTAATCCAAGAGTTTTCCAGCCTCTGGTCTTCCGACATCTCTTTCTGTCTCTCATCTCAATAATGAGCACCATCCCAGGGTTGTTTTTAGAATAACAGAGTTAGAAGGGACCTCAGAGGTCTTCTAGTCCAACCCCCCTTGCTCAAGCAGGAGACCCTCTTCTACCACTTTAGACAAATGGTTGTCCAGTCCCTTCTTTAAAACCTCCAGTGATGGAGAACCCACATCTTCTGAAGGCGAGTTATTCCACTGGTTGATTGTTCTTATCACCAGAATCTCCCAATTCACAAAATAAAGTGGTTTGACCTGGAACGGGCTGGTTCCCAGTGAATAGGCCTCTTTCCAGAGTAGCTTATCGGCCATTATCAAGAGTCCAGCTTGGGAGGTAGTAACCATTAAGGAGCTACCCTGGGCATTGTGTCTCTTTGGAAAGGCATTTGAAGATCAGTCTATTAATTCAGCAATCCCTGGATTGATCTAAACCAGGGGTTCTGACCTTGTAGTCCGCAGGGTGCAAAGGCTTGAAAACAGTTTGATTGAAATCTTGAGTGAAGCCTTTGGGGGTCCGTGGCCACAAAAGCTTTTTATCTATTCTGACCCACGCCCTTTTCCAACAAATCAAACACAATCCCAAAGAAACAGAAAACCTTGTAATGTGTGCAAGGCTTGCCAAAAGATAACAGCCAAGAAATAATTTGCAAGACAAAAATATTCAAATGCAAACTCAGGATACTGGAATGCCCACGAGGCTGGAGTTTCAAAACGTCTTTGCCTTCTGCAAAGTTTCACAGCTGGCTTTTATCTTCTTGAAGGAGGGGCCGTTCCCTTGCAGCCTTTCTCCCGAGTCGCCCGTGGTGTTGTAGCTGTTCTTTCCTCCGAGCAACCTTGTACGCACGCGCACTTGGCACAGGCTCCTCGGGAACCTCCTCATCGCTGCTGCCAGCCCCCATGTTCTCTGAAGGCAGCAGTCCACTCCCCGATGGTCCTGGCCCCTCACCTGAGTCCTCGCTCTCCTCAGCCGTCCACACCTGCTGCCGGCTAACCACAACATTATGGGGAAGAAAAGATTAAGAACTACTGATTTAAAGTCTTTTCCAAAATGGGAAGCGAGCTAACGATACCCAGCATAGCAGCACCTCTTCTTCGTAAGGGGTTTCAGGTAACCCTCCCACACACACACACACACCAAAAAATATCTCTGGCAGTCCCACTCAACAATAGATATTAATATAAGGCTTCCAAGAAACAGACATTCCTATTTAGCTATAATGACTGATAACAATCAGTAAATCTCCTTGCTTGACTCATTGGTTTGCAATGAAGAGGAATCATAAATTCTGTAAATGAATCATCCAGGAAATCTCATTGTGCAGCTTTTTTGTTGGGGGGGGGGAGGATATCTTCTGGGTTGTAGGGGACCCCTAAGCCAACTTTCTCTAACCTGGCAGGCACTTAGGGCTTGGCTGGGACTTTAACCCAGTGACCAAATACCAAACCAGGACACTTCTGGAGCGAGAAGCCAACTCTGGATGTTGGAATTGCAAAGCGCAGGTGTGTTTGGGCCCCCTGACTTTTGCTAATAATCCCTTCCATTTTCATGGCGTTTGCTGAGCGAGTGAAACCCTGGATTTGCTGGCAGCTCTTTTTTTGAAGGGGAGTCAGAATGATTTTCCATTTCTCTTAAGGCCTCTGACTAAGCAAGATATTAAGGCCAAAGGCGCCTTGGTGCCTGCAGATCACAATTGATTCTGCTGAAGGTCGTTTCGACTCATGCAGGCTTCTTTTAAATTGGAGGCATCAATTAGCCAGACATTGGACTTTTGGCCTGCAAAGGAATATGTGTCCCAGTTTCGGACTCTGGTCTGCAAATCTTTTTTAAGTGTGAAGGTGGTGAGGG